ATATATATATATATATATATATATGTAAGCCCTGTTAGGGGGGGGGGATACCTTAAAATCTATCCTACCCTTCCCTAGGCTTATCTAACTAACTACTGTCCGGTCAGTGCAAGCCCGGATGAACCCAGACTGGTTAATAACCTAACCTTAGTCTAAATTAAAAACAAAAAAAACTTTTAACAATATAATAAAATTTATTAAACAAAATATGGAACCAAAAGTTATAAAAAGAGAATAGGTAAAAACTGACACAAAACAGAACCAAACGAAACAAACTTTTTACATCAAACAAAACACCCAATTTCGGACTTCGTCCAGGACTATGACGAACACAAACACAAAATAAATACGGCTGGATGGTGCGAATTTGCTATTCTTTTCACTCGATGACCAGAGAGACTTCCTGCTCTCTTCACCGCTGCTTTCCACACACCAAAAAGACAGAGTTGAACAAGCCGGAAACCGACTTCCACACACCTCACACACTACACGTAAACAAATAGTCCCTAATTCACGGATAACAAACCAAACACCACGAAACATGCAACAGAATATTATAAAAAGACACTTAATATAAACAATGACAACAATATAAACGAAATATATATAAACTAGCTATAACCAGGGACATAAACAGTGAGACAGCGGCGCCATAATACGGGACTACACAACTAAAATCGACGAACAATTTACGACATGAAACGAAACGATACATTCGCCTTCTAAGTTACAAATAATAAAAATACACTCCAGCCGCTCACACACACACATATATATATATATATATATATATATATATATATATATATATATATATATATATATATATATATATATATATATATATATAAGTACAGTTTATTCCTTCCCAAAAATAACTCATGAAATAAAGCACATGTTCTATCTACTGTTTAACTCAGCTTCGAGGCCTAATCAACATCAACATTAGTAAGTACACTATCACCACCAACTATCACTAACTATACGTCTTTACACCACAACTGTTCGTTGTCAAGAGCCTTGTAATAATGAAACTAACCAAAGTCTGTTTTATTGTTACATGAAGAACAAATAATGAAAATATGCTGGGAATTACATTTTTAATTTTAAAAACCTAGTTTCTTTTTATAGTGTTGAAAACATTTGAAATGAAAAAATCTGCAAACAGTAACGAATAATATGTCAAGAAAATACAGTTTCTGTGTAATTTATAAAGGCAATTGCAAGCTTAGGGTAGTTTCGAGATGACGAGAAATATGTTTAACAAATATACGAGAAATCCAGCTTTGCTAGGATGTCAAATAGAATATAATGAACGATATGGAACTTTTCGTATAGAACGTTTAAGTTTGAACGTTTAGGTTTCTGAATACAAGAATGGATAATGTATCAAAAATGCAAAAGAAGAAATGAATAGGACGAATTAATAGTGATTTTGATGATTTGCTACTTAGAATATCTCATCTAAGAGCAATAGTTTCTCTAAGCATCCGCATGTCTTTCACTAATAATAAGGCCGCCATATTATAAATTTCAGAAACCTATGTCATGCATAGGGCCACTTCAGGGTACATCGCCAGTCCAGGTTTTCCTCTACGATTTCTGAACAAATCTTACACTTGGAACATACAAGTCGATCGTAATAACATTGTAGTTTTTAAGTACGTTCAAAGATTTTTTAAATTTGATTTTTTTTTATTCTTTGTATTCTTTTATTTTGTATACGCTGAGTTGAATGTAGTCACAATTTGTGTTCTATATTGCATATTATACAGACCATAAATGTAGTGATTATTCTGTATGTTATTACTAAAATAATGCTTCTAAATAAATAACTTCATGCTTAGTATACGAGAAAGTAAGCTTTCTAATTTTATGAAAACTAAAAAACACATTAAAAAATCCTTAAAAACGTTTTAATAACAAGTTTTTATGTAATAATGCATGAAAAGTAGAAAATAAAAGTGCATTATTAAATAAAAGCTTGTTATTTTAGGATTCTTTCAGTACTTTATTTTTTTTTACCAAAGAGTTGCATGACTAAACACCATTGCGTACCTAATGAACATGACAAAGCGCGTATAATAGTGCGGAATAGTTGGATAAGACAACCTACTAATTTGGACACAATTTTAATTTATTCATAAAAACAAAATTCATAAAAGACGTTTTAATAACAAGCTTTTATGTAATATTGCACTAAAAAGTAGAAAATAAATGATACACTACTATTTAAATATCTAAAATATTGTAATTGTAAAATTGTAAAATACTCTAATTGATTACAAATATTTTTTAGTAAACAATACGTTCAGTGTATAAAAGAAATAAAAGGCTGCATTTGAAATATCTGTGTTTTACTTACCACATTACACTTAATTAATCTACGCTAATTATGTAATTATTTTTTTCCCAACACCAAAACAAAGTAATAAAAAGTAATTTTTCCCTCCGATGTAAATGTTTTTAAGGGAAGTAATTGTGTTTTCCTTATTTATCAAGGGACGTAATTAGTGCTAAATACTAAATTATATTAATTTTCAGACACCTTTAGAATTTTTGTAAAGGGTGTTACATTTTCTTTAATTTTGTTTAACGCGCATGCCTTCTATTACCACTATAAGTTTGAAAAATGAAAACTGTTTTATAACACATTAAATATTATTTTTTTAGTTATTAATTTAGACGATAAGCATTTTAGATACATCACACTATGGCGATGAAGTCAATTTTGTTTTTTGCTCTATTTCTTTGTAATCACTGGTCTGTCCGCCCGTTGTCCACCCTAACATCTAGAATTAACTTTATATATTAGAGAAAGAACTATATCGGAACTTGACTCTTGTGCCAAGTTTGTAAGAAATTGGTTTGCTAGAAGTAGTCAAAATTTCGCACACCAGTTTCGACCAATGACGAATCACGACAGACAAAAGCAAGTAAAAGCTTGTAAAAAGCATTAAACGAGAGCAATACAATTCAAGCCTGTAAAATAGTTTTCTTGACAAAAAATGATGTGTTGAAAGTATTTTTAACTTAGTGAAATCTGTCTTATTTTACAGTCTAACCTCATTAAACCTAACCAGAACCACTTCTTCCTGCACCAATCGTTACCTAGAACTGAGGGAAAGTAGCAGCGCCTTATCTCTGGGGCGGTACTGTAACAGTGAGGTACCTATCCTGGTCGTCTCACCCACCAACACCATGTACGTCCAGTTTGTGACGGACAGCTCGGACACGTTGCCTGGTTTCTATGGCAACTACTTCACTCAAGGTGACAGTCTAATTTAAAATCTCAAGAGGATATTAACTTACATTAAAAAATCGTAACAGCAATTAAGGGGGGAGGCTCCGGTAAAAAAAACTTTTTTTAATACTCGTTAGAAAATAATTAATTCTTTACAGCTTTATTAAGATACATCCTCATATGCCTTTCCACTAAAAATAACTCGTGGAAAAATCTTGGTAACAACGACAACGGCGGCCATCTTGAAAAATTAACCCCCTCGTAGGTTTTCCACCATCCATAAAATATTATATTTTATGCCCAATAAACAATCAATTCATAATCTTCTTCCATATTTTGGGGCACTCAGCTAAAAATTTTAAGTGCATATCTTCAAAATGATTTATTATGAGTTTTCAAAATTTGGGTTCAAATATCGATTCCAAGGTTTAAAGCGTTATAGTACACTTTCTTTCGGCTATGGCAATAATGATATAGATCTATGCTCAGTGGCGTCGCATGGTCAGGTGCGACCTGGTGCGAAAAAATTATATATATATATATATATATATATATATATATATATATATATATATATATATATATATATATATATATATATATATATATATATTATATTTTTATAACTTATTGGAAAATGAGTAAATAGTGACCAAATACATTTTTTTAAAAAACTTTTGAATCCACTAGAAGCTCTTTACTTCGTATGGGTATAATAAATTTTTACTTCAACACTTTATCAATTGGAAATCGGACAAAAATAATAACTAGGAGTAAGTTTATCAATAAAATGTAATTTGACTTAGTATGTAGCCGGGAGTTCATGTGTACGGAGAGGGGGGGGGATGGGGCTCGGGTGAATATAGTAAGAGAGTAGCTTGTGGCAGCCGACGACAGTGAAACTTTATCGTGTAGCTTTGTGTGACACTAATATATAGCTTTAGAACAGCATCTAGGCATATTTTTAGAAGTGTTAAATGGTGTTCGGAAATGACAAGAGTACTTGTTTTAAAATGCTTCCAGCCTACGACTACCACCTGACGTCCACACAAGGCCGTGTGAGCAGCCCTGGCTACCCCAGCGGTTACAACAAGCTGTCTTCGTGTGCCTGGAGGATTAGTGGAGATCCTGGGACAAGAGTGGTCCTGATGTAGGGATTAGCGTATACAAGCAGTCACTTAGGGATTAGCAAATACAAGGAGACAGTGTTTCTTCAAGAATTTTTTCTCGGGGGGGGGGGGGGAGGAATTTAAAATTTTCAGAGGGGGGGCCGATTAAACTTTCCCGGGAGGGGGGAGTGGACACTGTTAAAAGTTTAAATTTTCTAGATAAATTCCATTTCGTTCGGGGGGAGCGGTAGACTTTGTTCGGGGGGGGGGGGGGGCATGTAGTCAATTAGTGATTAGCCAATACAATCAGTCAAGTAGGGACTAGCAAATCCGAGCAGAAAAGTAGAGATTAGTAAATACAATGCGTTATGGTGTTACCATGGTAACCATACAATTCATAGATAACCATTTGAAACAGTGATTTGTTTTGAGATTGCTTTTCAAATTAAAAAACAATTACTTAACATCAAAGAAAAAATTTCAAAATGAATGTTTTTTCAGTTTTTCAGATTTTGAGGTACTTCCCTGTGGTTCTGTTCATGTGGCGGCCTACGAAGGCGATCAGATACGGAGAAAACTAAATGTATCTTCATGTGGACGCTCACAGCCCTTCACACTTACCTCCTCCAGTAATGTGGTCTACCTGATCTTTATAACTGCAGGTCTTGGTGGTCGTGTCACACACAGAGGATTCACGATGAACTACACCATCAAAGGTCAGAGAACATTAGTTGATTTTTAATAATAAGTTTTAAATTATAAGATTTAAATTATCCATAGTTGACCTCAGATATAATCGAAAATATTAAATATTTTGATGAGCATGACACAGTCTAACTAAAACATGTGACTTAAATTTGAAGGCAATATATATATATATATATATATATATATATATATATATATATATATATATATATATATATATATATATATTAGCTTATACCCGTGCTTCGCCACAGTGTAACTATGGATATTACCTCAAAGTTTACAGCGCTGTAAACCCAAGGCGTAATTTAAATCGCCGCCAAAAAACTCGTTTTCCCGGCTATCCGCGCCCAGGGAGAGACTTCCAAAATCTATAGCGATGACGGAATGACTGACTGACACACTACCACCATATATATATATACTAGCTGCATCCCGTGCTCCGCCACGGTAAATCTTTTTTTAAGTGTACCAACTTGGGAACAGAGAAAAACTAAACACAACACAAACGAACGCAAAAAACACAAACGAAAAAACAAACACAACACTCATAAACACAATTTAAATGCAATCATAAAGGCATATAGCTCACAGTCTAGCCCGTAGCTCCAGATCGCTCCCTTTCCGAGCGCCAGCGGACGCGTCTGACACAGTGAATAACTACAAAACAGAGGCTTAGCGACCCTTTCCGGCGCCCGGGGACAAACTTTCGATTTGACCCTCCCTCAAACTTACGATTTGCACCCCCTCCCCTCAAAATTTCAATTTCCACCCCACCCCACTTTCGATTTACATTCCCCTCAGACTTTCGATTTGCACCACTTTTGACTTGAAATTCCCCCCGCTCAAACTTTTAATTTACACCCCTCTCAAACTTTCGATTTGCACCCCCCCCCCCCCTAAAACTTTCGAGTTCCACCCCCCCCCCCCGCTAATGTTTTCCAACCCACTTTGGCGCCCCCTAAGGTCGGCACCCGGGGACATATGCCCCCCCCCCCCCTCGCTATGCCTCTCCTATAAAGCCCCCAGCTTGTCCGCAAACCGAAAGATAGAATAATAATTAGTAAACAGTATAAATAATAGGCAGTATTTAAAATATCCGTGTTTAACTACATTATATCACTTTATCAATTCACACATTTTTTTCCCCAGTACTTTAAATTTTAAAAATTTACAATAGTTTCATAACTAAAACCATTGCGCACCTAAGGAACGTGATGACGCTTCTATAATAGTGCGGAATAGTTGTTGATTAAAAATTATAAGTAATAAACAGTACATTCAGTGAATAAAATAAATAAAAGATTGCCTTTTATCAATCCATGCTAATTATAATTTTCTAACAATAATTTCCTCTTACACATCCGCATAATTTGCAGTCACATTTTGCTAATTATATTATTGCAACACTAATTCCTTCTATGACGACCGTATATTTGCATTCACATTTTTTATTAGCGTGAGTTTAATATTTTTTTAATTACCTCCTTTGTCAAAATTAGAAAAAAAAAGTTAAATTAATTTGACTTTTCTACTGTACTGTTATTATATTATCAAAATGTATCCACTTTTTCTGGGAATATAAACGAAAATGATATTTGACATTGATCTTTTTAATATGTTTTAGCAATGTGCGTGTATTTAATATTTTCTTTACGTTATGCAAAAAAGAAAAAACAGTGGCAATTATAAAATAGCTCTATGTCGTTATATCGTTATATAAACAAACCCTACTCTATTACTTATAATAAGACACTGCGGTGCACTGAAAAGCACATCATGGTGCGATGTTTACTTTTATGGTTCCAAAAGCTATAGCGATGACGGAAGGAAGGAAGGAAGGACTGACACACTACTTGCCCGCTTATATCATATATATATATGGTGACAGGACAAATGATCTCAGGACAAATGATCTCAGACAAAATATCTCAGACAAAATATCTCACGGACAAATGATCTCAAGACAAATGATCTCAGGACAAATGATCTCAAGGACAAATGATCTCACGGACAAAAGATACCAGGACAAAATATATCAAGACAAATAATACCACGGACAATTGATCTCAGACAAAATATCTCAGACAAAATATCTCACACATAAATTTTAATAGTGTAGTTGAAGATTTTAGTTTATCTGAATTGTTTTTATTGATTGTCAAATGGTTTTGTTTACTATGTTTACTATTGTTTATAGGCCTATATAATAATTGTAAGAAATGTTTGCCGTATAAATTTGTCATATTGCACTAAAAAAATTAAGGTTAGTATTAGTAATATAGTATACCAAGATTAAAGAAATAATTTCGAAAGACAGCGTAGATGTGACTGACAAACGTGAGACAATCCTACCACGTCAGGTGGACGAAACAAGATCAAAGAGGATGGAATAACAATAAAGACACACCTTCGTGTCAAGGTGGCCGCCTGCTTTGATGGCAGAGACACGCCTTAAGGGAAAGGCAACCGCCCTCCATGGACAATACGACTAGCATAGAAAGTCCATTGTTATGCGTCGGTCACTCCCTTAGTGATCAGGTTACTATTGCTTATTTAAACGACAGCGGTCATCGCAGAGCTAAGTATGTCGTAGTGTGCATCAAACAAAGCAGTATTAGTGGTGATTGCTTTGCTATGGTCTCTTTCGTTACCTCGCAAAAAGGTATTAGGACATGAGTTTCTGGTGAATTTATTATAGCAATACGCAGGCAAAGAGATTTGGAAATGTGAAATTAGGACATGTCGAGCAAGAGTTCACTCAATAGATGATCAGATAGTATTGGAGAGTTGTGATCATAACGATGTACCTACCAGAAAATAAACTTACACGTTATGTTTGTGTTTATGATGTAATAAAAACAATAGTTTAACGTTACGAACCTTAAGACCATTTACATTTTTGAAAGATATTTCGCGTGATATGAACATCAATGTTGTATGGCGACCGTTACTTTATTTGTTTTATACATTATCATTTATTATATCTTTCAGGCTAAAAGAGTAAATTTGTTTTAATTTTTACTGTTTTACTGTTTTAATTTTTACTTTTTCAAATCATTTGCTTAATACACCTCTTGATGGTTTGTTAGGTTTCACTAATTCATTTTATTCACAATTATTATACGTAAAAAAGTAAACAAAACCATATTAACAGTCGATAAAAAAAAGTTCAACTAAAATCATCGTAAATACTATTAAAATTTCGCTGTGAGATATTTTGTCTGAGATATTTTGTCTGAGATCATTAGTCCATGATATCATTTGTCCTGGTATATTTTGTCCTGGTATCTTTTGTCCGTGAGATCATTTGTCCTTGAGATCATTTGTCCTGAGATCATTTGTCTTGAGATCATTTGTCCGTGAGGTATTTTGTCTGAGATATTTTGTCTGAGATCATTTGTCCTGAGATCATTTGTCATGGAACCATATATATATATATATATATATATATATATATATATATATATATATATATATATATATATATATATATATATATATGTATATATACTAGCCTTCCCGGCCAGGCCCTGCTCTGGCTTCTGTTTAAAATCTTTCTGTTAAAGACCATTACCTGTGTGTTTAGTAATCATCATAAATTCGGCATTTTCCGTCCCTACCACAACCAACCAAAACCAAAACAACAAAACGCAAACATAACGCTAACACAATTACAATTACAAACGAAAACAAAAACCTAACAACAACCCCAACAACAACCACAAACAACAATACCAACACAAAGAAAAAAACAAACGAAAAAGCAAACGAAATCAAACCAAATCCAAACGCAAAACCAACCACAAACACAAATACAAACCCAAAGAAAAAAACACAAACAAAAACGAAAAAAGAAAGAACAAAAACGAAACAAACCAAAACGCAACCACTAACGCAAACCCAACCTAAACACAAAGAAAACACTAACGCGAACATAAGCGCAAAGTGCTCACAGTCTAGCCCCGGGCGGAATCGCCTGTTTCAGCTTAATAAACGACTATAGTACCCCAACTTATTCATAGTCTTTTGCACTCACTTAAACGAACGCGCACGTTTCAATTTAATGAACAATTATAATACTCCAAGCTTATCCGTAAAATACCTACAACATTTGCACTTGATCAATCCCCGCTAATTATGTAATTATTTTTTTTTCCCAACACCAAAACAAAGTACCAAAAAGTAAATTCTTTTCCACTAATGCAATGTTTTTATAAAGGGAAGTAATAGTGTTTTCCTAATTTATCAAAGGGAATTAAGTGCTAAAGGACTAAATAAAGACATAATTAGAATTGTTGTAAAAGATGATATTTTTTAAAACTTGTGTTTAATGAACATGCCGACAATTATCAGTTTCAGTTTGAAAAATGAAAATTATTTCCCAACACTTTCAATATTAATTTTTTAACTCATAAATTTAGACCATAAGGACTTTAATAACCTAACACTTCAATCCATGGAAGTATCCGCGACAAACATTTTACACTTTGCATATTACAAGTTACATACAGAATTGAGCTTTATATATATATATATTATATATATATATATATATATATATATATATATATATATATATATATATATATATATATATATATATATATATATATACACTAGCTTATAACCGTGCTTGACTACGGTAAAAACAAATATGGCGCACCGCTCTCACGATGGAGTGGATATGGATATTCACAAATATTAAAATACGGTAAAAAAAATCATAATGGCGCAACGTCCTCAAGGATGTCAGCCCAAATTTCCCTCCACTCCCCCCCCCCTTCCTCCACCACAAACCGCAGCCTAATCTGAACCACCGCCGAACAACATTTTTTTCGGGGCGTCTATTCATTTATCATGCAATCATTCATTCATTCATTGTTTCATTCGTTCGTTTGTTCGTTCGTTCGTCCGTCCGTTTGTTTGTGTGTTTGTTTGTTTGTTTGTTTATTGTTCATTAATCTATACATATTTTATACTTCTATACATGAAACTATAGAAAAATGAGGCTATTCATTAAGCAAGGATATAAAAGTTCTTCTATAACCACTTGAAAACTTTAATTAATTCTAATGCGTTTTAATAGATCTGTCTTATGGCAAGACCTGCCATCTAGCGGACCAATGCCGTGGGTATCTCTCCTGTGTCAAAGGTTATTGTGGATGTAGTGATGACAAATATCACGACCATTCAACTCAGCTGTGTATCAAAAGTGAGGTTTCACATCTTCATTAAAATCATTTCATATATAATAGAATCTTTCAAAAGTTACAGTTGGGGTACTTAAGCAAGCAGACCTCGCTCACATAACAGTACCAAATTTTATCGATCCATTAAATTATTACTTTCGTCAAAGACAAACTATGTATCATATTAACGCTTCTTGAAGATGAATGTACTAAGATGAAAGTTCGAGATAGTTTGTAGTTAACTGTCTAAAAATGATAATAATGTGCGCTCATCCTGCTGTTACGTTCACGTTTGAGCAGAGCGTGAGTTGGATGAGAATTGTGTTGACAGCCGACAGTGCAGTGGAGAACTGAAGTGTCGGGGTCGATCGTGTTTGTGTGATAGAGGCTTGTACTACAACACTGGCAGCAGAACTTGTAGCAGACGTAAGGTTTTAAGTTTTCAAGTTTTAGATCCGTTTCATTAGTTTCAGTAGTACACATTCTAAAGACTCAAGTCAATGCTATAAAAGGTTCACTTTGCCGGTTCCATGGTATTTTCTGTAGGAAAATACTTGCAATGGAAATAGAATGATGGGGGAGGCTCATCGATCCGGTGCCTAATGTTCTAATTCAATTAAAGTTTGACAATTAACCACCTATCTTGCTTACCTGCACCCTATTTCCAGCTGTGGATCATGGCTCCAGCTGCTCCACCAACAACAGAGGCATGTGCAAGCCGCCACTAGACTGTCTACTGGATGTACATTCAGCACGGCGATGTTTGTGCAAGGACAAGTTTCATTCAGAACACAACAACTGTGTGTCGTGTAGGTTTTGCATGGGCATGGCGTGGTGTGTAGTATAAAGTGTACCCTCTACATAATATACGGTGCATCTTCTTAGAATTTACTATAAACTCATAAAAATAACTGGATTACAAAAATATTTGAAACTTATTAATGTAAGCCCTGCTGGGGGGGGGGGGGGTGACTACACTATCTATCCTTCCCTAGGCTTAACTAACTAAACTGTCCGGTCAGTGCAACCGTGGTAAAACCCATGGTGGTTAAACCCTAACATTAGTCTTGATAAAAACACTAAAAAGCTTTATCAATTTACATAATTTATTGCATGAAATAAAACGAAACCAAAAAACGTAAACATTAATACAAATTCAAAACATCCTAATGCAACACTAAACAAACACCAAACAAACGAAACACAACGTTCGACTATTTGATGGTGTGGCACCGACTTATGATGTCTAGGATGGTCCAGGCTCTGACACACAGAAACCTCCCTTCATCCGTTCTCGACATCCAAAAGTTCACACCAAACAAAACACTACGTGCAACCACTACGTACAACCACTAGGTACAAAACATTACGTACAAAACATTACGTGCAAAACAATATATACAAAACAATACGTCCTAAACACTACGTTTAAAACAATATCTACAAAACAATATATACAAAACACCCAGCTAAGTTGCACAAGCAACCTCACTAGAAGTGTGGGGGGGGGGGGTGGAGAGAAAAGAATAAAGAAAACAAATAAAATGCATGTAAAATATATACACATAATAATAAAGTAAAATAATCAAGTAAATTACACACACACACATTCGCACCAGTTTAGGAAACCCTCCTAAACATCAATTTAAACCACGTGGTCCAAAACACGCCAAGGGTTTAGAAAATATAAAAATACATTTTAAACCAACAAAAAGAATACACCACGTGTGTACCAGACCTGCCGATGCCCACTATCTCAATTTAGACGAAAAAAAAAGAAAACGAGAAACATCGGCAGTGGCTTTCATACCAATCACACATAAAACCAAAATAAAAAAAAACAAATACCTTCAAGCACGAGGGGCCACATTTTCCACTTGGGTCAAAAAAAAAGATAGAAAACCCGTAGCCGCTGTCCAGTGGATCATTCACGCACAGATTCGCACACAATAAAATAATCTATATATATAATTCTCTTCTTCGAGCCGTTAGAAAACAAGCTGCAAACGCTCTCCCTACCTCCCCACCCCTACATGGTTTTAGTGAGCTGTGTTCACTCTAAATGTTTACAAGCAGAGCCAACGATTTTAAACGTAGGGGGGGGGGGAGGAGGGGGGAGGGAAGGAAGGGGGGGGGGGTTATGGTCCTTAACGAGCTACTTATAGTGTTTTAAAGAAATATTTTCAGTGTCAGCGTTGGTACTGTCGAATTCACAAATTATGAATTATTGAAAATTAGAAACAACTAAATAGCGGCGTATGTTATGCCGCGGGCCGGCTCGTACAAAATAAATAATCTATTCACCCGCTCACAGAAAAAGATTACATACGCATTAAGACTTTTTTCTAAACTAAATATTTGTATTACTAAGTGCAAAGAGGATAACTTAGTACTTTTGCCAGTAAAGACCATGATCAACTGAACATTTATCAGAAAATATCAATGTCAACAATAACGCTTCAAGGCTCAACGACTTTGGTGAAGGAAAACGTAGAACTAAAGGAACAATGAGAAAAGAAATAATTTAAAACTTTACAGTGGTGTTGACTAAAAACTAATGGGAAGCGTATCTTAATCATAACTATCTCATGTTTTACAGACGACGGGTTTATTGTGAGTGTGACCAAAACACAGACTACAGCAGCCAATGAAATAGGTTTGGGCTGGCAAGTTTTGGCACGTGATGACGTCACCTACAGGGTGGACTGGGTGGCAACAGACGACCAAACGGAGCGGGGCGGTGTGGCGGGAAACAATAGCGGTGCGACCTTGACTGGCCTCACCCCCGGCACGAGGTACAAGGTCACCGTGTACACGGTCCTGGGGCGACAGGGGTTCTATCCAGAGAAAAACGTCAGCAGGGAGTTGACCGTTGTTACAGGTCAGTTCAGTCACGTGATCAAAGTCTGCTAGCACGTGACCCAATTCTGTTGTCTTGGTTACGGCACTAGCCAGAAGAAAACAGACACTGGAACACTAGGTTGGGTTAGATTTTAGAATATTCTATGACGTTATATATCCATGTCTGATATGTTAAGCTCTCATATTTCTTGAGATTGTGATGATTTTATTTTCGTACAAGCATATGTGTTGTTTTACAAGGAACATTTTTTTTTAATCGTGTACATTTTATTCTAACCTTGACCTAGCCCCAGCCCCACCTGGCCCAGTCAACCAACAGACCAGTACACTGGACAAACCACCTTACCGGCTCAAATTTCAGCCTTCGGTAGGCAGGGTACACAACTACGTCTTTCACATTCAAGTAAACAAGACATGGCTGGAGAGTACGGTGACCTCCCCTGACCTAGAACTCTCTAACCTAGAACCAGACAAGGAGTATCTGTACCGTATTCAAGCGGTCAATTTTGTTGGTCAGAAGAGTGGGGAGGTCAGTGGCAGGTTTAAGACGGCAAGGCTACAAGGTATGTAGCAACATATTATATCGAAAATCTAGAATATATATTTTTTTTAAATTCACACTTATAGAATTAAAATGTGGACAATATCTCTAGGGATTATTTTTAAAGTTTGCAACATTCATAGTAGTTTAGCTGTTTACTTAGAAAAATTGTGATTGATATTCGGAGAATAATCATTTGATGCATATCTTTTACTTTGTATCAAATCATATTTTACTTTTACCTTTAAATAAATCATCTATCGCTATTCCGATATATAATTATTTTTAGTTTCGTTATTTAAGTCGATAAGCATTTAGTTTTATATTTTATACGAACTGTTAAAAGTTTAGATATTGACCACGTCCGAAATGTCGTTTTGATATAAGAAAACGGCTAGCAAACGTTTGTACATTTTAGCACGACAAAACAAAAAAAAGGTATTTGAGCTCGATGAGGTAATGTTTTGATATGTGAACATGACCAATTAAAGTTTGGATATTCGAAAACAGCCAGCATCAAAATTTAATATTTGAACTCGCTCAGCGTTCGATGAAAGATGTGCTGAGACCCGCCAGTGCCGCGGTAACCTGAAGTGTGTGAGTGGGACATGCTCGTGTGATCCGGGGTTTTATTATAACCCTCACCTTTACATCTGTAACACAGGTAAGGTGTCTATTGTTTTTATTATTAAAATAATGTATAATTAAAATTCTTGACATTAAAATTGAACATTTTAAAAGTGGACGAAAACTACTTTCATCATCGAAAATAAAACCAGATTTTATTTCTAAATCGCTTTCGTTTATCTTAATTTAAAAAATCTTTTCGAATTTTTATAAATATATTCTTAAGTTGTATCTAGTGACATAAGGTTGTAAAAAACAGGCTGTTAATAAATTCAACGATATAAAAATACCTAATTGGAACCTATGAGTGGATGATATGGGGAGATAGAGATGTCGCGGTTTGGGAAATCGAGCCACACCCTTACCCCCCCCCCCCCCCCCAATAGAACATTCAAATCATACTTTTGCTGTTTTCAAAATAGATATTTTAAGCCACATCCTCAATATATCCCCAGCATTAGAACGTGACTCTATATTTTAAGCCACCTCAAACAAATATCCCCAGCATTAGAACATGGCTCAGCCTGCTCTAGTACCATCCGTGATATGTGCAAGCCGCCAATGTTAAACTGTCTTGCTGATGTTGACAGAACGTATCGCTGTCTCTGTAAGGACAAGTTTCACCGAGAAGACAACAACTGCGTGTCATGTAGGTTTCTGTGTATTGCGTGGTGTGTAGTGTCTTGATGTCTCCTGTGTGATATCTAGATGTTTAGTGTGAAATATGTGTGTTATGTGTGGTGTGTCAGTGTGGTGTTTTAGATGTGGTATCTGGGTGTGTAGTGTGCAGTAGCGGATTAAGGGGGGTGCTGAGGGGGGCTGCAGCCAGGGGCCCCCGATTTTTAGGGGCCCCCAAATTTCCTTTTTCAATTATAGTAAATTTCCCTTTAAAGTGATATTTTTTTGGTTTTTTGTTGTTTTTTTTTTGTTTTTAAAAACAGTTATAGGCCTTTACTTTTAGTGAAAGTTAATATCGGGCTTACAGGCCAGGGATGACGTTCTTTAAATGGACGCCTATGGAAATCCAACTTTTTGTGGGCCTCATAAATGGATGACACCTAAGAGGGAGGTGTGGTTTTTTACGCTTATACCGTGCTTTCTGTTTTAGTTAGGCCTAGTTTGACCTCTGTATGTTATTAATAATTTCATACGTAGAGTGGTTTGAAATTCTTTTTCTCTTTTGCGTCTGCAATCAAACAAGTGCCAACAGTCTTTATCGTCTGATCTATAACGACATCATATTCTCATGGACATTTATATTAATTGTTCAATATTAGTCTGCATTTCCAGCTTTCTCATGCCCAATATAAATTCTTGAATGACAGTTCAATAACTATCGTGACACGGATATACCGGCTCAGGAGTTTCACTCCCATTAGCCTCTCACTAGGCTTTACTTCCCCCACCACCAGACGCAGGACATAGTCTTACCGTCAGGTACCCGGCTAGTTGATGGTTAGAGGTCGGAAACTTCTACAGGCCTAATGTAAACAGTCATATATTTAGTACTACTGACGTAGCGGATGGATCTCGCCGCTCTGTGTTCTGTTAGTGTGTGAGTCGTGGTAGTGGGTGGGGGTAACATTTAATCATGCTAAAAATGAGTACATATTGGTTAGATGTTAGGGGATCGGCGTGGTCGAGTCGGTAAAGCTCGTGGATGCTTAACCGAAATTTCTCGAGTTTAAACCCTCGGGCAGATGAGGCTCGTTAGCTGGGGATAGCCACTCTTGTAGGAGAGACAACTCCAAAATCAAACATCTGCTGTAGTTTGTTCTTGGTTGGACAAAGGCTATGGAAACAAATTAAAAAAGAAAAGCAGACTGAGATCGGAGTCAATTGTCTCAATGGCGCATAACCAGTTGACACGTATCCTTAATTGTGTTGGAGGGGATCCGTTCCAACACTAAAATTAAGAACGAAGAAGACGAGAAGAAGAAGGTTAGATGTTTGTATCCAATTTACCGCTCATTGAACACATTTGACAGCTTTTTTTTTAAATTAGCAGTTTTGTAAATATCGGTGTCGAATGTTCCTATAAGTTATAAATAATCCATTAATATCTTGAATAGTATGCTGATTAGGATATATATATATATATATATATATATATATATATATATATATATATATATATATATATATATATATATATATATATATATATATATATATATATATATATATATATATATATATATATCAGGGGCCCCCAAAAAGTTTCAGCTCGGGGCCCCGCCCAAGCTTAATCCGCCCCTGGTAGTGTGTAATGTGTTGTGTGTGGATTTATCAGTTTTTCGCCTCTTACTGTGGAGTATGTAGTACCAGGGTGTGAAATGTGCCAAGAAAATGAATGTTTTTAACTTTAATGAAATTTTTCAGTTTGTTTCTAATTTAAAAATGTAGTCTTTCTATGAATGGCATTAGTTGGGAATATTCTCGAATTGCCCTTATAAGTAAATAGGAAAGTTTCCTTTTAGATGAAAATCTTTTTTCAAGTTCTCTGCACTTAAACGTTTTGTCCATACATGTTTGTTTGACCACCACATGAGCTGACGAGACACAGCTTACATCCCGGTACTGAAGTTACCTACCACGTACATTCATGTTTCATCTCGCAGCTGACAAGTTAGTTGTTGGAGAGACAAAACCAAACACTGAAGAGGCCACACAAATAGGCTTGGGCTGGCAAGTTTTGGCACGTAATGACGTCACCTACAGGGTGGACTGGGTGGCAACAGACGACCAAACGGAGCGGGGCGGTGTGGCGGGAAACAATAGCGGTGCGACCTTGACTGGCCTCACTCCCGGCACGAGGTACAAGGTCACCGTGTACACGGTCCTGGGGCGACAGGGGTTCTATCCAGAGAAAAACGTCAGCAGGGAGTTGACCGTTGTCACAGGTCAGTTCAGTCACGTGATCAAAGTCTGCTGGCACGTGACCAAAGTCTGTTGCCTTGGTTACGACACTAGCCAGAAGAAAACAGACACTGGAACACTAGGTTGGGTTAGATTTTAGAATATTCTATGGCGTTATATATCCATGTCTGATATGTTAAGCTCTCATATTTCTTGAGATTGTGATTATTTTATTTTCGTACAAGCATATGTGTTGTTTTACAAGGAACATTTTTTTTAATCGTGTACATTTTATTCTAACCTTGACCTAGCCCCAGCCCCACCTGGCCCAGTCAACCAACAGACCAGTACACTGGACAAACCACCTTACCGGCTCAAATTTCAGCCTTCGGTAGGCAGGGTACACAACTACGTCTTTCACATTCAAGTAAACAAGACATGGCTGGAGAGTACGGTGACCTCCCCTGACCTAGAACTCTCTAACCTAGAACCAGACAAGGAGTATCTGTACCGTATTCAAGCGGTCAATTTTGTTGGTCAGAAGAGTGGGGAGGTCAGTGGCAGGTTTAAGACAGCAAGGCTACAAGGTAGCAATTGGTTTTTAAAATTAACATTTGATAATTGCTTTTCCCCAACAAATAAAGTACGGCACCATTTAAGGGGTGTCACCAAAATGTATGAGTCATAAGGGGTAAACTACATCGACGGTACAGGGTGATACCTCGAGGCAAGAATAGAGTTTCTAACTTGGCCTATCGCTGTTTATATATATATATATATATATATATATATATATATATATATATATATATATATATATATATATGTATATATATATATATATATATATATATATATATATATATATATATATATATATATATATATACATACATACATACATATACATTCTATCAACTAGACAGAGCAAAGACCGGGATTATAGCTGGAACTTGTGTAGGGTCTGCCGTCCTTGCTGTGCTAGCTATTCTTATCATACTTAAAAGGAGACAATCTACAAACAATCGGGACTCTAGCTTCAGGTGAGGAAATCTTCATTTATGTAACAAGTGTTGTGATTACATCAGTATATAGTAATGTATCAGACTAGCAAGGTTATAGAAGATAATATGAGTGAATTTTTTTTTAATGCTTTTCCCACAATATAAACTAGACAAGTTTGTTTAGCCATCAAACAAGTTAATGACTAGATTGTATCAAAAACTTGGTTCCAACCTATTAAAGTTAGTTGTATAACAAGCCTAATCGATCATTGATTATCAGTACGAGAAATAAAATGTCCTACTTTACAGTTCGAGTAAACAAGACAGGAGGGTTCCTCTCGTGTCAAATACCTACAGCAAACCTCCCAGATCAGAGACATCACAAATAGGAGCTCTGGTTTCAAATACTTACAGCACTACTCCAACACTAGAGGGTGGTTTTGATGAAGAAGGTTGAAACAATAATATATTTGTGTGGGGAGTCGTTTGTGAGAGTGCGTCTGTAGCTTGTGTCTGTGTAGGTGGTTGCATGAGTGTAAGTTGCACGTATGAGTTTGTGCTCTGTGTGTCTAATATCTCCCCCCCTCCCCCACCCCCCACCCCATCATCACAGCAAACCAAACAATCTATGAAGACACCGAACAATCCGAGACGGCACTGGACGAATGTGAGTACTCAAACACTGGGCAGCAGGCAAACACTGCACTTGCCGGGGAGCAAACACACGGCAATTGTGATGCGGCAATGGAACCTGCCGGGGAAGAAACATACGGCAATTGTAAGAGTTTAGCTACTGACCTCTCCGAAGAAAACATTTACGGCAATGTACCCAGCCAAGGCAACGATTGAATATAAAAACAAATATATTAATACGTTGGCTTAGAAGTAGACAGCTATAGCCAATCAAAACAAGGCTGTCATTAAAATTTGTGGTTAATTATTCTAAGATTAACGATATTCTATCGCACAGGATTTATAGGGTTGCTTTTTTTTTTTTTTTTTCAGTTTTTTTTTTTGTGCAGTTTTTAATTATTTACAAACTTTTTTACTTCCTTTTCATTCTTTTCCCTCTTTCCATAATTGGACGAAATTTAACAAGGAAATTTGAATCACCTCTACCAAACAATTTGTTTTTGCAAATTTCATATGCAGTGCATACTCTTTGACATAATTCAATGTTTAATTAATTTTTTGAAAAATAATTTGCAAAATTTATTTATATTTTTTTTCAATATACAATACTATTCAACCAGTTCTAAAGAAAATTATATTTAGAAAGCCTTACTAAAATTTGAAAACAACCCACGCTTTTTTATAATTATTTCAATTCTGGCGCATTGCTAAATATTTAAAATAAACCGATTTATTTTAGTGCATGTATCAAGCTTTTTATTACAAATGAATTTAATTTTGATTCTAAATTTTATTGATCTATTTTATTATTTGTCCTTTTTTAAAACTGATGTTTTAAATTTAAAAGTTTTCAATTATACTATTTTAAATTTTACTGTTTTAAAATTGAATTGTTTAATTTAAGATTTGAAGTAAATAGTTTTATACGTTCGATATCCTTTGTAGCGAACTTCAAAGTTTTCAGCAATTTCTGGTAACTGGACTTAATACGCACACTACTTTCCGTCACTTAAAAGCCGATAACGTTGAGTACCGATATAGTTAGGTTGATACATTACTATCAACATTTTAACGATTTCGGATAATCGAAAGTGGTACTCTATTTTCATGGGAACTAATAACTTGAGCGCTTTTAGTTACGTAGGCGAGATTTCTATATAAGTGAAATATCTTATTCTTGGATCACTTTTAAATTTAGGATGACTTCTAATACCTAGAGGCGGTAAGCTACTTTATTTCTTGTTTCCAAAAATACGAAAATACCAAATAACGTGAAGACTGTTTCAGTTAGTTAAATGAAATATCATCCATAGTATATAATCTCAATAGCTATTTTTCGTCCAATTTTGAGCGATTTCCAGTGACCGAAAAGTAGTTCGCTATTTCCGATTTCTGAAAATGGTAAGCAAGGTTTCCTTTAGAACAGTGGTTCCCAAATTGTTTCGAGTGTCGACCCCCTTTTATAAAAAAAAGTAAGGGACCCGCAACCCCCATAGAATTAAAAAGTCGAAATTGGTAAGGAAATTAATAAGCACTAAATAAAAAATTTATAGTATACTTTCAATATATTCTTGATAACTGTTTTAATACGATGAGTAAAATTGCATGTTATTAACTATCCTCATGTCATTCTCAGCCTTATTTATTTCTTTGTTTTGTTTTTAACTGGAGAAGTGTTGAAAATCTATTCTCGCAAAGATATGTAGACACTAAAGGAACTAAAACGCGATAGGCAATCCATTTCACGTTTGAGTATGAATGCTGCATACCACACCAAAATTGTGTGAACAGTTTTTCATCTGACGTGGAAACATCAGCAAATCCAGGAATTCATCTTGTAATTCATCGGAAAAGCTGGCAACTTCAACGGAAGCAGAGAACGTGTAACGCGTCAATGCAAATTCTTCTACATTCAGCTCAGGGAAAATAATGCCAGTTCTTTTTCCAAGAGATTCAAGATGCCCAGAAATCGCTTCTTTCGAAATTTTAATTATCTCACAATCAGATTCATCTACTACACCGCAGATTTTCTCAAATTTACAATATTACCAAGATTTATATTTCATCACCAACTTTGCAGCTTTGTTAAAAATGCCCCAAGACTATGATGAAATGAGGTAATATTCGTTCATTATCCCTGATGCTTCAGGTTAAGCTTATGTTGATGCTCGAATATATCTGCTGTGTATGATACTCTCGCCAACCACTCTTTGTCGTTAAAGTGTATCAAGTGTATCATCCTTCAATTCAAAAACACGATTAACAACATTTCCTTTTGACAGACAGCGTATTGTAGTGTAGTAAAGCAGAACCATGTGATTTTTATTCATGTCTTTGTGCATTTTTTTTAAAGAGATGGGTGTTTAGGACTCCAGATTTAATATAAATTACGACTTTTATTAGCAATAGAGTCGGAAGTCTTGCTGGAGAGCGCATGCCGGTGAATCATGCAGTGGATTCCCCTTTGCTAGGGAGCTAAATCTTTTAGCTTTTCTGAAAGCCTTATGTTGACCGAAACATAGATGGCGCACCATTAGTACAGCCATATTCACATTTTAATCATCCAGTTTCAAAAAACGTGTTAATTTTCTCCATGATATCTTCAAAAAACAGCATCTCTTCTTTGCTATTATCTGAATGAATATATTTCACAAAGACAAGCAACTGCGATTACGATTTCACGTCTGTTGATTCATCAACTTCAAAAGCAAACAATGGTGAATGCGTTTAATTTAAAACAGGCACCGTCAGACAAAGAGATTATTTGTTATTGTTTATCAGGGTGTAAGTGTAGCTAGACCATTATGTAACGTTATAATGTTTCACCACTTCCACCCCCCCCCCCACCCAAAAAAATAAACAACAAATTCAAGTAAAGATGTTTTATTTTATTCAAGCTAGCGTTTAGAAACCGCATTCCTCTAAACTTGTCGAAAGTATCAAAACAACTTTTGGTGGTTGTCAAAGAGATTGCTGGATATGGCTCCGGTTAGTGGCGTGACAATTACCTGCCGCCTAAAGTAAATAATATTTGACGTCATGATATGTAACTCAACATCAATAATTAGTAGGTTTATGTAGGTTGTATGCTAGTTAAGTTTCTATAGTTTCGTGTGAAAGTAAAGCAGTAAAACGCTAACTAGTTTAATAAAATCGATCATTGGTAAAATGTGAAACAGTCGTAAAATAAATAGCGAAAGAAACATTCAAGAACCTACCAATCAATGGTGCCAGAAGGTCTGAAATAAAACAAGTTTACAATGAATTATTGCTTAAACAAATCCAAAACTTGTAACAATAGCGTAATTATGTCGATTGGTAAGCAGATGTAATTTACACTTAACTACGTATGTATTTACATTACAGAAACTCAGCTATTAACAGATATGTCGTAGTGTTCAATGCCTGGATTATTACACCTCAAATGAAGGTTATGCAACAGAATGGTTCTGATAAACAGTTGATTTGATTATTATCAAACTTGTCCCAGCAGCATCTTAAAAATCTCCACTAAAGGCCAATTTAATGTGATTTTTTATTTCTTCTTCTTTCTTCTTAATTTTTCATGTTGAACGGGACTCCCTCCAACACAATTAAGTTTACCTGTCAACTGGTTATGAAAGTAGTACGTGTCAACTGGTTATGCGCCATTTATGCCGTTGACTCCAGTGGGTTTTTTTTAACTTTTTCTCCGAGCGGGGAGCACTTTATATTTGTAGGTTTACAAAAACTAATTGGGTGCAATAAACTCTCTAACTAGTAAGTTTGTAGGTCAGATCAAATCAAACTAAACTTACCTAATGGGAGTCCTTGCAAACCTTCAAAGAATAGATTATGATACATTATTACGAATAGACTAAATAAATGTTCAGAATATAATTATTTAAATATTCATTATATCTAACACACATAATGAGGCAATTATAGTTAGACTTAAATCTTAAGAAAATTAATAGCAAAAAAGAATAAAATCAAATGACGTTTTATTTTTAAAATATATATTTGTTTTTCATACCAACCCTACTGAAAAAACCATAAGGCAAGGCGTGGGTCGTTGTATCATGTATTGAATACCCTACTTAAAGATTTATTAAACCCACATTTTATCTTGATAGTGTTTGACCGTTTTAAACAGTAGTGAATTCTTACATTTTTTAAAGAGGGTCATTTTATTTTTATTTCATACTTTTTATTGATTGTTTATTAATATGTTTTATTTCACACTTTTTTCAAGATAACTAGAAAAGAATCACATAGCTAACACTACTTACTCAGTAAATGAGCCACCAAATGTGGTTCATTGTGTGATAAAAAGTAGTTTATATGGTAATTATACATTTTTCTTTAAAAAATTAAGCGATCGTCTAATGATCTTGACTTATATATCGCATGACATTGTTACTGGGTCTGACTGGGACTTAGCCAACATATGTAGGTGCCAGACTGCTGGTGTAGGAACCCGGGGCGCACCTGGCCATGCGACCGCCGAGGTGCTGGAAGACGCCAAGTTAAATTTAGTCAATGTTTTTTGTAGCCCACCGTTTAGTTCGTAAATCGCGCTCTTTAAAAGGTAAGTTGGCGCCATAGTGCTCACGGTGGCGTCATGGAGCACTGGGATCACACGACCGTCTGACGCGCCTAGTTTAATTTAACCAACGATTGGAGTAGCCCAACGTTTTCATAGTGTAAGGCGCTCTTTAAAAAAATACACAAACCCACTCATCGGCAGGTTATGTGCTCATTATATGATTAAGCTACCTATTAATTCGTTTGGAAAAAACATCTTTTTCATCGTAACCTATTAGATTTTTCCTCTGTAGATTTTGTAGTTGGTGTCACCCCCCCCCCCTTACATGGGTAATAGTTTTAAGTATGCACAGTTACTAGTAATGATGTTTGTCTATAGGAGGTTATTAATACAGATGGATTAACTCTAATCATTAATTGAACTGGCAAAAAGCATATTTCTTTTATGTATTTTGCAAATTTTCGCCATGGTGTTATCCGTTGCGGTCCGCACCCCCCGCCTCACTACGCCTCTGAATAAAGTCAAACATTTACCTTGAAGGGGAAGATTTCCTGCAAAAAAATATATTTTCACTAAGTTAAAGACTTTATTCATAGCAAAGTTGCAAAGTTTGCTCTAAAAAACGCAGTGTGACAAAATAGAAGCTCCTATAATCATGGTTGAACAGGACTAAATTAATTAATCTAAAAGTTTTTCTTTAATTAAACATAAATCTATGAGATCTAGGGATGTTGCAACACAAAAATTACAAGGGAGGTTCAGTTGACTCAAACTAAAAATTAACTTACCAATTAATCGTTTTCCTTTATAAG